AGTAGGGAGGTTGTGGCTGGGCCCCACCAGACAGACCGCTGAGTCTCTTCAGGGTTATTTTAAACATTCAGGTGATGTCTCTGGTTTTCTCCTTGGCCAGGAGCAGGGCGCAGCGGCTGCCTCGAGCACCTTGTGGCCCTCCCGGCCGCTGTTGAGGTGCAACGAGTGACTGTAATTGCCGGTTGGGCTCAGCTGGCTGCCCGTGCACTCGCACCCAGCTCCTCCTCTTCACAACGCAGAGCCCAGCTCTTCCTGTTGGACCCGACTGCCTCCCAAGGCAGCCACATGGGTCTGCCTAGACCAGCGCTGTCTGCAGTGGGACTCGCCTGTGGTCTTCCAGCAGAAGAGCTGGCCACAGCAGAGAGCGTGAGCTTTGTAACGGGTTCCTTCCCCTCTGTGCGGGTGCTGGAGGGCTGGGGTTTGTTGCCCTTGCCCTGAGCCCTCGAGTCTTTGCCTGCCCACAAGCTCTAGGCCAGGACCACGCCACGGGAGCTTTTCCGTCACGTACAGCCTGTGGGACCAGAAGCCCAGTCAGAGCTGCCCGGGGGACTGCTGGAGGGACAAACTGCTCATGAGGGCCCCCAGCCTGGTGGTGGAGCTGTGGCAAGGCAGGAAGCCTCTTCTAGCATAGTTTGGTCTTGGGTTTTTTTGTTTTGTTTTAAAACCAGTTTGTTTCTTTTTGCTTGTACATATCTATTTATTACTGTGTGCATCCCCTTCCTATAAATATATCTGAATACTGAGTACGTTAGCCTGTGCTCTTCCTTTTTCCCCAGTACAGCGCTGTCTAGCTGTGTTCCTCAAGCACTTCTGACCTTGCTGTTTTTTTTTGCTCTTCCAGCTTCAACTTTGCACTAAGCTTGAAGGAACCTAATCATGTTCCTTTAGCGCTGGGAACTAGAGCTTTTTTAAAGTTAAGTTAGGGCACAGGAGATGGTCGTGGGCCATTGCGGAGATCATGAATTGTGTTAACGAATGGTTTTTTGCTAAGATGTGTGTTAGTGTCTGGTACCTCACTGAGCCCCTGAAGATGAAGTGGTGTTTCCCTGCAGTCCAATCTGTGCGTATCGGGCAGGAACGAGGAGACAGTGCTGGTCCTTAATGGGGAATAACAGCCCCTGGCAGCCTGCTCTACTTCGCACAAGTTTCCCCAGCCAGAGCAGGGGCAGCACAGCCACGTGGCCAGCGATCGCTGTTGCCCTTAGTGAGGGGCTGAGCCTCACAGGCGGCCCACGTGCTGAGTACTTTCTTGGAAGGGAGCTAGCTGGCTGTTCCTGTTGGCATGTCTGAGAGTCGATACGGTTGGAAGCTCAATCTGGAGGCCAGAGTGAGCTGCGGCACAGAGCTGCCTTGTAATGCCTCAGACCATCCCTTGGACAATCCTGCCTAAGCTGAACTGCCACGTGACTCTGTTGATACAGGTCATGTTTGCTATTCACTATCCTTTTTGTATTCCCAGATCTGAGCAGCTGGGTTTGAAACGGTAGTGTACTTTCTTATCTCTTTTGTTAAATTAAAGCATGGTTTGAAGAAGTCTGCCTCTTCTGTGCAGGGAGGGTGCTGGGAGGGAGGTGTGAGTCTGCACTGGTTCCACGCGCTCTCCCTGGGCGGCTGCTCTCATTCTCCCAGCTAGGGGCTGTTATTGCAAGGACACTGCTCTAGTCTCTGTAAGTTCTTTATTATGGTGGACGTATATAAAACATGAGGATGAAGAGGAGGCATAGATTGGTTACTCTTCCCGTTAATCAACAGTTCTCCCCTTGTAGGTGCCTTCCAGTTGCTGCATGGTTACATGGAGGTTAGCTCAAAGGTAACGTGCATGTGTGACGTGACCTGCTCATTCCTTGCAGCTCAGCTGCATTTCTCTCTCCACCAGAACACCAAGAGATAAAGCCCAAATGAGGATCTTCCTTGGAGACAAAGGAATCCTTGCTAAAAGCCCTGCATGCAAGTGTGTTACACGCCAGCTGGAGTGGTCCCTGCCAGTGTGCCCAGCCCTCATCCATTCTCCAGCCTTACCCTGGCAGAACATGCTTTGCTGTCTAGCCAGCACATAACACAGTTCTGACGTCCCATCTCCTTCCTTAGGCTTTGCCTCTTTCTCCGCTGGAAGTGCCGCACGTAGCGGTGGGCATGCCAGGCCTCAGTATTTGTTGATGCCAAAGACACGTACTCCGTGGAACTGGGGCAGCTTGGGCAGAAGGACGCTGAGAAGGGAGGTTGTGTTGATGACAAAGTGTGCAGGGTCATATTTCGTATAAAAGCTGGTGAGGAGGTAACTGGGAAAGAGAGAGACCCGACATGAGTTCAGTGCCGTTCAACTTCCCCCTCTTCCCCCCAAAGCACACAGCGTGGTCACAAGTCAGGGACCGCAGGTGCCATTCCAACTGTGGAAGCACTTTCCAGCATCCAGGACCTGTCAGTGCCAAGCACCGCCGTGCTGGCAGAAGCCTAGCGCTCTCCGTGCGCACCCTGCGACCTCCTTGCTTATTTCCATCTTGTTTAGCACAGGCAGCTCAGCTGGAGCGGGCATGGGAGCAATACTCACAGCACTACAGGGGAGATGCTGAGGAACTTGCGGGACGAGGTGCACTGCATCCCGTAGTCGATCTGCTCCCAGTGCGTGAGGAGGCGATCCTTGCCTTGGTCCGGCGTTTCGAACGGGGTCCCTTTCACCGTGTGCAGCAGCAAGTACATGACCTGCAGGCGCCAAGCAAAAAGGAGACACAAAGCAAGTCTGGGCCAGGCTGTCGGAGCGCAACAGAACAGGACAACAGGACAGAGCCTCGCAACTCCTGGAGACTGGTGAAGCCAAAGACCTTTCATCAGCTACAACTTCCCCGTGGCAACCCCAGCAAGGAGGAATCAGGTCTAAGAGCATTTCACTCAGTGCCCTGCAGGAACCAGGGGCTTGCTTGTACCCTGGGGGCAAAAAAAGGTATCCAACACAGCACGTGGTACTGTGAACAGTGAACTTAAGCCTACATGCTCTAGCCCTGGGAGAAAAGCGGGCCAAACTTTGACTAACCAGGTTGTGAATAACATTGGTGAGAGTCCAGACCACAGGAATGCTGAAGAATGGGATACTGAGGAGAACGATATGGAGGACTCCCACGGAGATCACGTATGCCAGCCAGATCCCCCGGCTGTTCATCACCCGTGTGTTAGGATTCACCTCGCTGTGTGCCACACCAACGTTCATCCTAGAGAATAAAGGCAGAGGCTTTCAAAGGTCTCTTCGAGGAGAAGATTTTCTTAAATCTCTGTAATTCTAAACCTGCAGTCAGGGCTTTTGGCATGACCCCAGTTCAATGGCCTTCCTGCAACATATCTCACCCAAGCTTCCCGAGCACTTCAAATTTCTTAACACACCTCTAGTGCCAGTTCCCTAATTAGTGACTCTGTATCTCACCCGTAACAATGGGAACACAAAGGCAAAGAGAAAGGAAAGGAGTTCACATCCCAGCTCCGAACCCTCCTCCCGCCCCCAAACACCGGATCTCGCTCAACAGAAACTCTGGGAACGAAGGAAGAACCACCTCATGATGGAGCCCATCCTCCCCCCTTCCC